GACAACACTCTTGCCAAGACTAGTGAGATCTCCTTTCAGGAAGGCGTCGCTGTTAAACCACGTCTTGAATTTCCACCAACTTCCACCAACTTCCCACCTTGACATCCCCTCCAAGCAGAACCGCCCCAAGCAACAACACAAGTCGACTCGACTGAGACTCCCCTCGCCTCTGTGACGGAGCCTTTCACCTCCAGAAGATTCGCCAAATTCCCGACGGATTGGAGGGTGCTCGGATGCATGGGGCCCAGCCGATCTTCTCGCCCCGTCAGGGCCCTGCGATAAAGGCCCTCCGCCTGCAGGGTGGGCTGTGGATGTCAGCAGGGTGGCTTCCTATGCCGTGGCGAGATGGGCCTTGTGCAATGTGTTGGTGGTGAAGTGTGGCCCATTGATAGGTCAAACATCAAAACCCGCAAATCTCAGAATCTGATCTGCAAGGGATGGGATTGTGGGAACCAAGAAGCCAGGGTGAAGGCTTTTGTTGGACCGCGTGCAATCTGGCACACATGATCGATGCAGCAGCCAAAGCTCTATATACATAGTCACTTCTTGCAAAACAATGTTGATCTACCCCTGCACCCAGCTAAACAAGTTAAGTCCAATCAAAGCTTGGATTCCGGAGAAAAAGTTTCTAAATTGCTCCAGTGAAACTGGAAAAGCAAGAAAACTCACCAGGGCCCTTGTCCTGGCCAATCGAGAACTGCCTGCCCCCTCGACACTTCCGCAACCTCCTCAGCCCCGCCTCCTCCAACTTGCCCTGTTCGTACAAGAGAACGGCCAAGTTGTTAACCGAGATGAGCGTCTCCGGGTGTTGGGGTCCCAGTTGGGACTCTTGGCCTTCCAATGCTCGGCGGTGCAGCCCTTCAGCCTCGCGGCTCGAGGTGGAGCACTGAGGTGGTGAAACATGGAGGGCACAGGTCTCGTGGAGGGCCGCAGTTCTTGGACTAGACTGATATTCCAAGCACCTTTCCAGAACTTTTTGAATTCACTGCAATCAGCTTTAAAGGATCACCAAAATCATTTTTTGTGAAATGGCTTTTGATATCCGCGTTGCACCTCTTATGTGCACAGCAATGTGCCACAATGGGCACCCAATCAATGCACGGATATATGTTTCCACAATCACAATGGTTTTCATGGGGGCCTGGTGGCGTGCTTGTCTGATTTCAAGGAGCCTCGCCCCTGCGGGAAATGCTTCACCGTTAAACTTAAGCCAAAACCTGTCCCACACGTGTCAAGCGCTTGCCAAGGGCTTTTTTGTATTGACAATCCCCAGGAGACTATCATAATCCGCGTCCCTACTTAACATCTGCCTGCTCTCATGAAACAACCCCGGGGTGATCACGGAGGCTATAATTGCCCGGATGATCTGCCATCCCAAACGCCCAACAAAAACATCACAGTATAATACATCATGAATATCACATGAATTACATAACTAAGCGCCCATGAGAACCTCACCAATACAGTATCATGTGGGCGTGTGGGTAGTTTGGATACTTCAATCTTTATATGTACATTATATAGTAATATATTTATATACATAACACGTATTTTCTAAGGAATACCCTACTCACAGGTTCAGTTGAACTGGTGCTATTGTCACAGTCAATCAAGTGCCTGTACTGTCATCCGAAATCCATCAACTCAAACCAAGCCTAAAAACTTCAAATGTCATTGGGGACGCTGGGCCTGTACCTGTTGGCACCCTTTTTGGGTCACCCATGTCTTGTCCAATGTTTTGAAGACTTTCCCCAAACCTCTTTGACATTTCGAATCATGTTCATAGATTTGGAATGATTTGGACTTTCGTAGGTTCCTCACATATCTCACATGAGCGCTCGATGTGTGATTTCTAGTCGTTCTTGCCATATGTAATGACAAGATCCCTCTTGCAATCTGGGTGCCTGGGCAATCGCTAGATGTCGCTAGATCTGAAACGCAAAGCAAATCGATCAAAACTGGCCCCCGATCCACATGAGATGTTTTGGAAGCCCAATATAAATCAAGGACCTATTGTAGAGGGCACCTTGGAGAAAAAAAAACTACATTTCATTGGTCTTTGCATATATAGACTTCAGCGACGATAAATAAATGCATAAATGAATCACTTGTCACATCGTTTCATGGGCAATAAATCACCCGAAAATTACTATCCAAGAATAGTGGGGAACAAGACAACATCCAAGCCTTTCCCTCTGGCTCAAGGAAGGTCACCTCTCTTCAACCCAAAGACCTCCGCCCGGCCTCCTGAAGCTTTCCCCGCTGGTGCAGGACCAAAGCAAGGTTGTTGATCGACACCAGCATGGCGGGATGGTGGGCACCGAGTTGTGTTTCTTGCCCCGCGACGGCTTTGCGCTGCAGCTCCTCCGCCTGGCGGCCCGAGATCCGACAGGTGGCGTGGGCATATAATCCCAAGTCTCACGTCCTGCAACCGATTTAAGAAAGGGGGAAAAGGTGCACAATGTCCTCCACAGTTCTTGGACTTAAAAAAAGGTGCCTGTCAAGCACGCCCTGTATTCATCGCGGTATGCAAACTATATCAATTCCGTTGTTTTGGTGGGTGGCCAATTTCAACCAGGAAATGATTGGGAACAGCTTCTTGGATGAGGATCGCCGAGATGCATCGACATGCGCCTTTTCATTTGCATGTCATTGATTTGCCCGAATTTTTGGGTTGTCAGTTTCAACTGAAAGTAACAATTTTGCAGAGTGGGTTCCAGCCATGTCCTACATTCATTCGCGTGCATAAATGTGCAGTAGTTCGCCCAAAAATCCTCCAACAATACCGGGAAACAAAAAGAAAATCCAGGCCAAAACAAAAAATGCCCTGGGTGAAACGTCCAGAAAGGTCACCTCTCACCCCAAAGACCTCCGCCCGGCCTCAGCCAGCTTCCCCTGCTGCCGCAGGAGCTCGGCAAGGTTGCTCATGGACTGAAGCGTCTCTGGGTGATTCGCACCGAGGTGCGCTTCGCGCCCTGCAAGAGCTCGGCGGTGCAGGGCCTCCGCCTGGCATCTCGGAGATGGGAACAGCATGGGGGCCCCGGAGATGTCATACTTTCATTCAGCATGCGCCTATATATTCTATAGGCCTCATTTGCATTCATTTGCAGGAATTCACCAGAAAAAAATTGACAGTTTTGCCATATTTTCATTTTGCCAATTACAACTATGCAACGTGGATGGAAGTCCCAACAATGTTTTATGCCCATAGAAAGCAATCAAACCAATATTGGGAAATCGAAAAGAAAGAATCCGGGCCTCAGGCCTTGGCCACACAAAAAATATGCCCCTGAAAAACATCCTCCAGGAAGGTCACCTCTCTTCACGAAAGACCTCAGCCCAGCCTCAGCCAGCTTCCCCTGCTGCTGCAGGAGGTTCGCCAGGTTGTTCATGGAGGTGAGCGTGTCCGGATGATTCGCGCCGAGGTGCGCTTCCCACCCTGCAAGAACTTGGCGGTTGAGGGCCTCCGCCTGGCATCTCGGAGATGCCGGAGATGTCATACTTTCATTCAGCATGCGCCTATATATGCTAATGATATATATATATGTATGTATACTACAGGCCTCATTTGCATTCATTTGCAGGAATTCACCGAAAGATTTGACAGTTTTGCCATATTTTCATTTTGCCAATTACAACTACCTGGTAAACCCTTTGGATACTAATGATTGTCCAGATTCAAAATGATAGCTCTTTAGACATGTTGGTCTATAATGACTGTCCAGGACAAAAACAGCCGTTCGAAGAACCGTTCGATTCTTACACTCTATATATATATATATATAAATCGATATAGATATATAAGATATATGGCAATGCCCAATGCTATATAAAAACACCATAGTTTTGCAACTATTTATGTACGTTTGAATCAATTCAACCCACTGGTTTCAGCAACTAATTATGTATATTCCATCGGTTTAACCCACTGGTTTTGGATCTAATTATGAATCTTACAATGAATTCAACCCATTGGTTCTGCAACTAATTATGGCATTTCCCAATGCTATGGCACTCTCACCCTCCTTCTTCCGCCCAGTGCCTCTAAGCCTTTTTGCCCGTGGACACGGTGAAATGTGGCCGTGTGAGAACTGCTTGCAACAAGCACTCAGCGATGCAGCGCTTTATGACAAAGACACTGGGGTGTGATGACCCCTATAAAAATAGTTCATGGAGATCTATTTATACACGGGTTTGTCTGAAAATAGTGTACCCCTACACCCAATGGTTAATGATCATTATCCCTATACTAAATGGCCATAATTGGGGGTATACCCCATTTTCAGACATACCCACACGCATTAAGATATATGAACAATCAACAAAAACATACAATGTGCGCGTATATATATCTTTGCCAATGGTCTATGGCTGCCTTTTGCCAATGGTCTATGGCTGCCTTTTGGCAACACCGGACACTCCAGGCAGGGCAAAGGGCTGCTGCATGGGAAAGGATCTTAATGGCTCATTTTATGTCATTTTATGATCTATCTATATATTCAAAAACTGTGGGAAGTCAACCGTGTCCAATTTGGTATGTGGCAAGTTATTTGTTTTTTATGTCCAAATTGAATTGGTGGCACTTCCACAGCAACCCAAGTGCACCTATAGCTCGCACTGTCACACTCACATTCTCAAGTGCCCAGCTCCTGAACCGCAGCATTTCAGAAAAGGCCCAAGCCCCTCAAAGGATCGTTGCTGCAGGCATGGTAGCGAGGACAAGGAATTCAGGGAATAGTTCGAGCAGTTCTGGCAGCCCTCCCAACCATGCGAATGGAGATGGAGATGAAGGGTGCAAAGACAGGGTTGGAAATTGGCCTATGGATGAGTTGGCAGTGACATGGGATAATTGCCCGTTAATCCGTGAACGACTACGAGGGGGGCATAATTTGAACATGAATTATGACCAAGAGAAGCATGTGGCTACCGATTCATACGTAGAGAAAACAATCCCATCTCTGAAATTGAACCACTTTGTGGTTTCGCCGTTGCTCAAGATGATGGCTGCCAACGACAGGACTCTCCCCAACTTAGACCGGCTGCTACAGCAGGTTACGTATCTGTTTGAACGCAGCAAGGTCAACCTTGGTACCAAGAGGGGTGACCGAATCTACCAGGAAGGTTGGGCCATCCGAAGGTTGTGCGGGGTAGCGAAGAAGTTACTCTACAGACCATCCCTTCCCAAGGACCAAGGGGGTATGTATCATGAAAAATGCATTTGAATGGGGAGACTTTATATATACAGTATAATTTTTAATTGCACTATATGCTCAATTTGTATATATGAAGTCGGGAATATAAATATATATAGCTCTCTCTCTCTATCTCTATCTCTCTTGGTCTTCCCTTGGTCATATCTGGTTGATTTTATATTCATTCCCTGATTCCACCTGCTCCTACCGCAGGACCCAGTCCTGCTGAGTCTTTGCAAAGATCTTGGCGCTGAGGTTCCTGGTGACGATGATTCGGCTGCTGGGCTGCACTGCATTGCACTTTTGCTATAGGTACACTGGCCACACATGCTGTTATAAAAGACCCATGCCTCCTTAAATTCAAAGAAGTTTTTCCCTGAAGTGATGACGTAAATGCTTTTGAGCACCCAGAAAGTCTGTGTATATCATGGATATATATAATATATGCGTGTATCCCCTGGAGTGATGAAGCAGATCTGTTTGAACCCCTATATAACATCGATATTGATCAACGTTGCAATTCAATATAGCTCGATATAGGTTTTATCCTTTGGGCAAACATGCTCTGATGGAAACGATGCCTGTCGAGGCTATCGCTCCTCCTCCTACGGTGTCACCGGCCAATGTGGCACCGCACCTGCCACCTCCGACTGAGATCCCATTGCCTGGCCCTGCTGAACCCATCCAATTAGCAGAAAAACCTTCACATGCGGTTTCTGGGGGATCTTCTGAGGAGAAGGAACTTGAGGCTATGGTAGATGAGATTTCAGCTGCCCTCACATCGTTGGGGATGAATGAAGGTGAAAGGAACCCCCAAGCTGCAACAGAACCTGTGAGGGAACCTGCTGGGAAAGGTCAATTGACATTGAAAGATATGAAAGCTGCTGTGTGGCTTCCCCGGCTACCGAAGAAACGAGAGTTGGAAGGGACACCCAATGTGGCAGTCTTGGATAACCATGGGGTTCTGCGGCCAGTGGCCAACCCACATTCAAAACCTGCTGCTCCCCCCATTCCTCATGAGCCATCTGAAGATCGTGGCTTATCGTCTGAGGATTGGGGTCAACATCAACACATATATAGGGGTTTCCTAAAATGGGACTACATCCGATCATCCAAAATATTGAAACCCATGGTTTTGGGGTACCCCCATTTTAGGAATCCCCATATATACAGTTTATACACATGATCAAAACGATGTTTTAATGGTTTCTTGTGAGCAAATTTTGACATTGATGTTTGTGCATGGCTTCTTGGCCTCCTACAGGAGAATACTTTGATTGACGTGTCGGATGATGACAGCGAAGATGATGATCTTGCTACAACAAGTGCGCTGCGCCACAAGCTGGAAGATATGATGATGCAGCTGGAAGAGTCGCATGGTGATAATGATTTACAAGCATATATAGCATATGAATTTTACATATATCGCCATAGAACTTATACTGGTATACGGGTACTTATATATAATACTGCATATACAAAATTCAGGATCCATCAAAGCTTCTGAACAGTTGTCGCTGATTGCCCAGGTCAAAACCCAGCTCCTTGTTTTTTGGAATGGTCTATTTGGAGGGGCGACATGAACAAATGTGTTCGTAAATGTCAAAACAACTTTAAAATCTGAACTCCCACAAAACTTCCATCTCACACCGGCGCCGAAATCCAAGGTCCTTGGATGATGTCGACGTTGCTACAGTTCTCTACCAGCAGGATTTGCCTCTCCAAGCAGCCAGTGCAGGTGGATCTGGTGGCAAATGACATGTTCTAAATGTGGTACATATAAAAATATATATATATATACCTGGTAAATAAATATAGATATTTTCAAAGAGTCCCTCCACAGTTCTACGTTGGTTTACACTGGTTCATAACCCTTGCTGTTTTTAAAGTTCTATATCATGTTTTGTATATAGACATCCATAAACCATCATTAACTCTTTTTCATATATATATATATATACTGTATATATGTGTGTATATATACGTATAGGTCAACTGTATATATAATAACCAACTTGGCTCTCTAGGCACCCCCATGCATTTACATATACAAGATCATATACCCGTGTGTTTTTTCAAAGTGAAAAGGGGAAATACTTTCAGGGATTTTTGTGGGTTGCAGGTGACAGTGCAACCTATGTGACTGAGTCTTTGCCATTCGGTACTGACCAACTCGAGACCCAACTTGTGATGCCTTCCGAAGAATTCATCAACACGCATGAGATGAAAACCATGCTTGCCAGAGAAGATCTAGCTGAAGTCCCCCAGCAGGAAGTGCTTTCAGTTGAAACATCGGGTGAAATGGTAGAAGCTGGCCACTGCAAAGAGGTAGGGTGGTCCAACATCATTTTTCCATGTGCAGAGTTTTTGGTCAAATTGTTCAACACTGGGGCAAAGAACAACAATTATATATTTATTCGATATAAACAAGACGCATCCAGGGTTATACACGAGACAATATTGTTTCCTCCATCGTCATTGGTTCCCTCCAGGTCGCTCCTGAGGAAAATGGACAACACCCTGATGTCCCAAGCCATCCAACGGTGACCCGACGTGCCCAGTTTACCGTGAAGCAGAAGATCAAGGAGGAACGTGCTGCTGCTAAGGGCAAAGGCAGAGGCAAAGGAAAAGGTACCGGAAAGGGCAAAGGGCAAGGGAAAAATGGCAAGAAATCTGTTGCAACAGTGTGGTGGACATGCCAACTGCACTTATGAATGCCATGAGTTCACCATGCCTGCAATCGAGGCTGTGAGTTGGAGTGTTTACTGGAAAACCAATGGTGTTGGGGTGCTGCTGAACCCAGAATACATAGAAGGGTATGAGCATGCAGCTGATCAGACAAAGCCTGTGAAAAAGAAAGATTGGAAGCACACCACTCACTTTGGTGCTGGATACTGTACTCAGTGCAATTTGATCTTGGCGAACAAGTGGGTTTCTTGACTTCTCACTTCAGCGTGTGAGTATGTACGAGTACACTATACAAAAGGGTTCTTGTGATATATAAATATATATTATATAGTTTCTTGATCAAAGACCTACACCTTTTATCAGTTGATCAAAACAATTTCCAACATGTTCATATCCCGCTCGCCGAAACGAGGTTGAAAAGCTTTGGGACAACGCCACCGAAGAATGGTATCTGAGACCCAAGCATGAGACCATGCAGCAGTACGACAAGCTCCTGAAAGCCACGTTGTCGGCAGCTTTGAGCGAAGTGGCTTCTTTGGGAGATGAGTGAATCAGCTGAGCTGTCAACAGGGTATATCTTTACGCATAGAATCTCCAGCAAACCGAGCAGTATATGTATATATGTTTTTACCAATGCGTGTATGAAATATATATATATATACATATATATGAGGGATTCACCAACTCTTCTATGGGAACAGACTTGTCTCTAAATGTAACATAGTTCATTTTATTTCATTTTGGTGTTTATGCAGTTCGTAGGCTGGAGGTTTCGTGCGCACGCTGTTCACACACACAGAAGTTGCGGGATGTCTGGCATTTCTTGCCGACGCGTGTGGAGCCATACAAGCTGCTCCAGTGGTTCGGTTCTTCGCTGAATGCTTGCAATATTTTCTTGTACGCTCATCAGAGCACATTGAATTTCATCTAGGATGCTGTTTACCAATTTGCCTTTGCAGCAAATAGTGCTGCCACTGGCATGTTGGCACCGGAACAACTGGGGAGAAGCAGTTCGGGAAAAATGGAACCTTGAGTGTTTGTACAAGTAATGTGTATAAACATTCCATTTCGTTATTGGTGATCGCTATGTGTTTGAATAAACAATGTAAAGTTCAAGCAAATACACATCCTATATATTATAGCAACTGAACCTTCCACTTTACAGGAATATTGATATCCACCCCGTTTCATTGGGATACGTCAATTGTTTTCTCTTTCACTTTCGTGGCAGGCCTCTTATGGCGCGGAAACGGAAGTGGACTGCTGCGCTGCGGAGGGCAGTGGATGAGAGCTTCTTCATTGGTCTTCCTGGCCTTGTTGGGTGCCAAACGGTTTTTGAAAAGGCAATATGTATATACGTAAATATAAATATATATATAATATCATATTTAAAGATAGAGACAGAGAGTATATGTGTGATTGGGGGAACAGTTGACTATGTGTCCCTCTTTGCGCACGCGCAAGTGCTATGCATCATGATATGTGCATGTTTTTTCTCAGAGCATTTGATGCATTCCATGCTTACATGTTCTGCCAAAGGATTTCCTGTGTGTCATGATTTAAGTATATAGTTAAGTACATATACATATACAATGTATAGGCGTTGGGGTCAAGGAAATTTGTAGAGAGAGAGAGAGAGAGCCATGACGTGGGATCTCGACCACGTGGTGAAGTCGCTGATGATGTATCAAGCTCCCAAGGCTTCCCAGTTATGAAATCTTTGCTGACAAAACATGTTTGGTTTGAATGTTTTTGCATATATGTTCAATTGTGGCTGCTGTTCTGCTTGTTACTCTCCCCTTGCATGCCCCTGTGGAGACGCTGATATATGTGGTGGTGCTGGTTCATTTCACTGGCAATCTACCTCCTCTTTCCCAGGACCATATCCCACATTGCCAGTGGCCCTGTTGACATGTTTGGGAAACAGTTTTTATTTGTGCTACATGTACACCCCAACCAGTGTATATAACGGATTAAAATGATGATGGTACTGTGACCCCTTTTGATATAACAACCGACCTATATATGCCTTTGACAGGAGCTGGAGTACTGCGAGTTTTTCGCTGGTGCTGCGAAGGTGTTTGAGGAAGTGAAGGGTGCAGCCTACCCTTCTACAGCAATTGACATAGAGTACATGAAGAACGCTGCGCACGAGGGACGGACCAACCCGTTTGACTTCATGACTCCTTGTGGGTTTGGGTCGTTTGTTTGCAAAAGTGTATCCAATGAAGTTTGCTTACTTGAATGAATATTTTCACTTGTTTTTGTGGGGTGAATATTGTTTACTTTTAAATTAATGATATATATATATAACTTGTTGATTGAACCCTTTCTCACAAATTTGGGCTTCAGGATCGCAGTATGGCTGATATCTCAATGTCGCCCGAAGAACTTCTTCATTCTACTTGCTACGGTGTGTAGCAGTTGGATACACATCAATGCTGGTACATCTAGACGTAGCATGCTATTGCCAGAAGGTCGGCAGGATTTGCCTTACATTCAGCTAGCAAACGGAATGGCCTCAAGGACCCTTTGGGGCCATATACATGCACGTTTACACGGTTTGGGTTACCACCACGAAAAAGGGAACCCACAAAACTCATATATATATAATTTTTGAGAATAAACCGATGCATATACGAATAAATTTTATAGGGAAGTTTTGGGGCCCTGAAGGAGCACTGGAGATTTCGGCTTCCACCACAATCTATTTACTTGGGCCGTGATGTTTAGATGTGTGTCTCATGATATATATATATATATATACCAATCTTTTCTGAGAAACCATGAGCGCAAAACAATTGGTCACAATGATATACAGTCTATATATATGTTAAAGTTTGGTTAATATGTGCAGGTCTTTATATCGTTGATATGGGTGTATATGTTATTGGGGGTTCATACAGATTCACCATTTCGTGCCAAGGGTCCCTATGTGGGTCAACCTGATCAATTCATGCAGGACTTGCCTCTTATGTCTTCTGACATTGATTCAAGGCGGAAGTTATATGGTGGAGCAGCCGGGTAGCAGCTGCATGCCCCATTACAAACGTTTTGTGTGGCTCTCCCGGGTCTCCAAAGTGGCTTGACATAATTATATACGTTGGACCCGAAAACTCAATAAATATATATATATACATATAATATTTATGATCCTTTTGGGATTCTCCTTCCATGTATGTGGGAAACAAATAAAAGAATTTAGTTTGACTGACTGATCGCCCATTCAGGTCTTTCGCATTGCTTGGTGGATGGCCCACTACTCATCGCCATCTCCGAAGAGACACCTAGGCCTGACGAACAATGTATGGACAGACAAGTTGAACAAAGGGAAACTTACCAAAGAGGCCAGAGAGAAGTTGACCCTTAAGCCAGTTGACCGGACCGTTTCAAAATCTGGAAAGAAGGGCTACAAAGGCAATAAGTTGCTCAAATCTACTCAGTCCAAACCTTAGTTGATGTTGAACCACGGGGCACCTTAAGAAATCAACATTATATTTCAATGTGTTTAAGATATTTTAAGATTATCATTGTTTTCCATCCCCATTTACTCCATATTTTTTTTTGGGTGGAAAAATCAACAACTGAGGATTTATCCCCAACGCTTCGGGGTGGAAATATGCAAATTGATGCCGAAGCTCAAGACCCAGGGTGAGGGGATGCTTGAAACTACACATGTTCGCACCCCTGCTTATGAACTGCTCCGTGAGTACGAGATGTCTGATTGGTCAGAGGCCCATCTCAAAGAGGTGGTGCATTATTTGTATTCGAACACATCTTTAAAATTACCATGGGAATGGAAGCAGGCTTTCCCACTGCGCCTCTAAGGTCCCCAGATGATTACAACATTTATATACAACATTTACATTGGGTTTACAACATTTACATGTTTTCCCCTGCTTACCGGAAGCTTTCTGTTGCCATATTCCGCGCAGACATTGGTTTCATAAAGAACTGTGTCTAACAGGGGAAGCCTGTGGCAGTAGAGTACCTTTACAACTAAGGCTGAGGAAATCGTATATCTTCATGGGGTCATGGATAGAGTTTGGGGCTGACCCCTCAATTGATTTATCACCATATTTGAAAGTGGTCCCCTTGGACAATGTAAGACTGCAATTACTGCCCAATGGTTGATTGCCTTTCCGGTAAGGACGGGGAAACTAAATTTGGATTGTCCCTCAAATACCTTCCAATTGAACAGTGTTGAAATCTTCATAGGATCAAAGATCTGAGGCAATCAAACATTAGGAGGCCAATTCTTCTATTTACAGTTAAACCCAATCCAAGTGGAAGGGCAGCCCCAGTCCTCTTTCGGCTAGTCGCTTTTGAGCTGCCTGCGAGACCTTGCAAGGGTGGCAGAATCGCCAAGCAGCGTCTCTGAGAAAATTCAGTCAGATGCAATGTAGCAGGGTGGTATATATATATACAATATATGGACATATCGGGTTTTCCAACAGGGACATCAGCACAGGAGGTGGCAGAGACTTTGACCAGTCTCGGCGTAGCTGCTGTCCCGACAAAACAGCTACACTTCCGCGAGCTATGCGTTGTGTTTGCCTTCAGTGCGAAAGAGCCCATGCACCTCAAGTTTCAGACCAACATTGGCATCATTCGACTCGAGAAGCTGGAGCCGCAGAAGCGGGCAGTGAAGCAGATCAAGGATGCGTCAGTGATTGCCCCCACCCCATCTTTCCCAGCCAAAGGAAAAGGAAAAGGCAAAACCAAGATTCAGACCTCACCAAGCAGTCCAATTTCCACGATCCCAAGTGCTCCGGTGACTCCTTCCACCAGTGCACCTTCTTCAGCCCCAAGTTCGTCAATGGCGAGCCGCGTGGCAATTCTGGAGCAGCGGCTGGATGGGGTTCAAAAAGACATCCAAGTAGTGAGATCAGAGTACCACGAGCTCAAGACATCTGTTCATGCAATCGAAAAGAAGCAGGACAAGGGGTTCTCGGATTTGATGGAGGCAATCGGTGCATTGAAAGGCTTGCCATCAAGTGCATCGAGCACGCCAGTGAAATCGCCTGCTTCCAAGAAAGCAAAGCCGTAGCTAGTGGGAATGTAAGTTGCACTGTTTCTCCTTGGATGTTTAGTTCCATTTTGCCTTACGTTATCCTTGGTTGTCTCAGAGTTTGTGTTGCTTTTGTGTGGTTTGTTTTGCTTGTTTGCTGTTTTTTCTCTCAATGGTTTCATGTGGGCCTTTGCGCTAAAACATGTGCAACCTTAGCAGATCTGTCTTCTTCCAAGCCTAGAAGGCTCAGGACAAGACGTGCTCGTAGATCTAGACGAATGACAAAGATGTTGGTCAAAGCCTCTCTCATTTTGTTTCTAATTCATAATTCGACATGTGTCTCTCTTCACGGTAGCCAACCTGTCGACACATTGCCTAGACCCCCGGGAGGTCTTACCTTGTTTCACTCAGAACCTGAGCAGAGACAGCTCTTGCATGCAAACGTTACAGTGCCGAGTGCGGAGCTTCTGGCTTCAAATCATTGTTTTTTGACACTTGGATTTGGAAATGGCTGCAGACAAGTTGTTTCCGAGCCGAAGTCCAACAATGCGAAGCTCCGCTATAATTCAAGTTTTCAATTTGCAAACGTCAGGAAGAATTGCAGTCACGGGTGGTTTGCCTCCCAAAACTACCTTTGGATTTTCTTTATCCCCTGCTTGGGCTACCCTGGCCAAGGTCCCCAAGAGTTTGTGTTTGATATCTCTTCGATCAACGTCACTTCTTGTAGTAGCAATTTTCATTCAATGGTTTCCTTTTGTGCTCCATTCCCGGAACGCGACCAATACAATATCTTGTGCGCGCAGGAAACGCGAATCCATCCGCTCAAGGAGAGAAGACTACGAGCCGAATTTGAAAAGCAAGGGTGGCAACCAGTTCTTGGGTACCAACCCCCTGTGAAACCTTTATTCAGGAGTGGCAAGAAGATTATGCGGCAACCTAATGGAGGGATTGCCACCTTTGCTGACTCTCGAGTCGCTCTCACTGAAATCGACATAGACAAGACTTTCGAACTAAGTAGCTTTGTTCAAGCCTTGCATGTTGTCCATGGGGATTTGGGGTTTTATATCATCAACTGTTATTTGCCCACTGGGAATTCTTCAGCTATCTCCATGCAAAGAAAGATTATCATGCAAGGAGTCTTCGAATTTGCTGCGACACTTCCGAAGGCACCAGTTTTTATTTTGGGAGATTTTCAAGATCCACCTGGTTCTAATTCAAGTGTTGCTCAGGCTCTGTGTTCTGGTGAATGGGTTGATGTACTGGATGCCTTTTGTGCTGCACACCAGCAGCCTATCCCAAATTCATACCAACGTATCTCAGATGGAAAAACCCAAGAATCTAGGATCGATTACATCTTGGCTAACAGTGCTGCCTGTGCTCATGTTCGCGACGCCGCATGTATAGTGGACTCAGGTTTTCCTGACCATCGGCCTGTGAGTGTCCGGTGTATCTTTGAAGATGCTCCGGATAGAGCCTATTTTTTGAAAGGTTGCGAACAATGGGAGTTTAGTGAAGCTCCCAAATCTTCACAAGATTGGAATGTTCGCGACGAACATGTGAAAAAGGTTTTGGCTCCACATCTGCATGGTTTGTGTCTTGCTGCCGGTCAGCAAGACACAGAAACTTTGTGGACACACGCATGCACGGCTGTCTCTGATATCCTGCAGTCGCTAGCTATGAACACGATCCAGTCAAATCGAAGGGGTCGAATCCCAGAATTTGAGCTAGTAAACACCACTGGTAGCCCTAAAAAGACTATTTTTCGATCCAGGCGGATTGCCAAATGTTTTAAACTCATTCGGGAAATTCACAAGAAGGTTTCCCTTCCGGGAACCTTCTCTACTCCTGTCAGAACCCAACAATTCCACAGTACTGTTCGGAATTTCAAACATGTTGCCAAACTTGTGGGGTTTGATTGTGAACCATTTGATTTTATGACTGTCAGCCAAGTTCAAGAAGTTCAATCGCAATTGGGGAAAACCATTCGATTCCATGATTCTTCAAAAGCAAACGAATCCCTCAAAAAATGGAAAACAAAATTAAAGATATCTTCTTATGCAGATCGGAAGGCGGTTCACCGGTGGTTGCGAGGCGGATGCGCAACAAACCCCAAATTCATGAAGCACCAAGGAGGCCTCACATCCAAAATTTCGGTTATGCTTCAGACAGTTTCTGATCGCATGCAGACCATCTATTCTACCCACAAAGACGTAGACCCTCAAGACATGGTCCAGAATTTTATGGGTAAGTATGGGGATGTTGTCAGAGACATGTGCACTGATTGTTCCCTTCCAATTTTAACTGAAGACCATTTCTTTGACATGTGCCAACGGAAACCTTCAACCAAAGCTGGTGGATTGGATCTTTGGAAATATAAAGAACTTCAACAACTTCCCCCAAGTGGATGGATACCGTTTAAACTTGTGGCGATGCTGGCTGAAACAACGGGTACCTGGCCAAAAGCAATTCGATGCATCTCAGTAACTACTATCCCCAAAAACGACTCTCCCATTCTTGATCCTGAATTGATTAGGGCTATTGGGGTTTCAAGTGCGATATATTCCCTTTGGTCAAGCATTCGGTACCAACATCTTACCACATGGATGAAT